TCTCTCCCTCTCTCTCTCCTCTTTCCTCTCCTCTCCTCTCCTTTCCTCTTCTCTCTCTCTCTCTCTCTCTCTCTCGGTCTCTGTAGGGATGCTCAGTCAAAAGTTAGAGAAAATGAAATAATACCGAATGAAATAAAAAATGAAAACTTTGGCTGGTCCTGAGTTCGAATCCCTGAGGAGAGCTCCGCCCCTTTCTAAATCTGCCCAAGTTTGGAAAATTCTATGCTAATGATCCAGCTACTAATTACTCTTATTCAGTTTTTACAATGGAGGATTCTATATTTGAGTTGCTGGTTTCATTTTTAATTAGTTTCACCTTCGTATCCGGGAGCGTTTTCCCGACCATTAAAGAAGTTTTGTTACGTTTCCAGGAAAAATCACGAGTTGCTCTTTGTTTAATAATAAATTGATCTCACAAGGTAAAAATGCGATAAAGAGTCTGGAGTCGATTAAAATGTAGACTCATTCTCGGCAGAGAGAACTCTAATGAATTGTTCTCTAATCATGCTCTTTTTTATCTCCTCTTTTTCCGATTTTGGCTCGTTTTGATCAAAAAACTTTGCATGTTTCAACGGAAAGTGTTGATAAACTTAATTGATTAACTTCAGCGACATCTTTTGAAGCCGAAACCTCCATATTTACAAACCGCTTTAATAATTGCTTAACAACAAGAATAATCTGTTGTTAAGTCGCATAACTATAAAAAAGTTTCTGCTTACTGTAATGGCAACCTTTTTTTTCGGCTTGCAGGCCCACCAACTTTTTACTTTTTGTCATATAATTTCAATCAAATAGATAAGTTTTCAAAGTTTGCCTCACAACAAGATAAACTGAATTGGCATCAGGTTTTCTAGCAGCATATAAAAAATCAAAGTTCAAAAAGGTGATAACTACTTTACAATTGACTCAGGGTATATTAAAACTCAGTTTGTGATGCTGAATTTTTTTCTGTTTCAACTGATTCAAGCTGATGATCAATATAAACTATTTTCTGCCCAACTTCATCCTTTTTTGCATGAGAATTCATAAGTTCCGCTATTTCAGTTTATTTGAGTGATACTGAGCAACGTGAGTTGGTTTTCAACAAATACCGAAGTTAATTTTCCGGTTTAAGCTTTCGAGGTTGTCTTTCATGGCGACTTTGGACCAAAACAATATCATGAAGGTCATTTGGAATAGAATTGAACCTTATCCAAAACTAAGTTTGCAAGTTATTCTCTGGCACCGTTTAAAATATTTCTCTCAACTACAAAACCAAAAAAAAACTTGTTTGTGAATTTTTTCCTAACTTTGAGTTTCTTTTTTGTAGTTCAATACCTAAAGAGTATAAAAAGAACGATTGTTGTTTTAAAAAGCAGAGGCACGAAGACAGTGAAAATATAGTAACTTTAATGAGTATAATAGTTGCAAAATACTTCAATCGTTTTTATTTTAGAAATAGTGGGTAAAAAAGAAATGATTAAAAGGTATACTCGTGTTTCGAAACCTTAAGAAACTTTACAAAATAAGCCAAAATAACACCCATTAAAAGGATAGATTTCTTGAGACTTCAACTGGTGCTATGGAATTGCCGTACACTGCATCTAATTTTTTTCAATAACAAAAACAAAGAAAAATTTGTGTGAAGAAGCTGTCGAACAAAGTTCATCACTTAATGAGATCTTTTTTCTATTTTGTGTATCGAGTCGAATTGAAACATCGTCTCATCAAAAATGCGTTAATCACACTATAATCTCCTTTTTGTTATCGAACAAAAACTTTTCCTTGTTATTCACGTTTTTGACGATTTGATTGCTCGAATCGTTTGTGACGTTTTACAGCGTTTTTGATTATCGAATTACTGATTTGCTGTACGTAATTGTTTCAAATATTTTAGTTTCTGGCTGAAAAAAACAAAACGAAATGTTTTGAATCGCTAATGTGTTCAGATTGGTTAAAATTTGGAAGGCTTTGAGGTTACACATATCTCTGATTAAAGATATAGATGCGTAAGATGAAATGGACTGATCTATAGACATTTATATTGGTTGTGAATTGCCAGTTTAGTTTAAGTAACTTTTGAAAGTATTTGAAAATGTGTCGAAGGTAAAAAATATTATGACTATCAACTGACAATCAGTTCTTTCGCTAAGAGGAAATTTTGCGTATTATTGTTCTGATTACTTTCGAAAAATATTTTTCGCTCGGGTTGTTTTTTTCTCCGGACCACTTTCAATTTTCTTATCGCTATTTTTGGCGGCATTTATTTACACCAGTTGAAAAAAATTTTGTCTTGAGCTCAAATTTTAAAAAGTAATTCATCTTTGATTAGTTTTCTTAAAATTACCGCGGTTCAAAACTGCCACTTTGAGCACTGTGATTTTTTAATCAGCCTTTTTAGGCAGTTTTTTTTATCATTTGATGGGTATTATAATCTTGAGCTCAATTTTATAAAAAAAATTTCCTGCAATTATGTTTTTATCAAGATACGGTTCAAAGATTGCAACTTTAGTTACTTTGAACTTTTAACTCTTTGTTTTTGGCAAAATGTAATTATACTATTTGAAAGGTAATTCTGTCTGTAATGCTGTCTTTACCAATGATTTTTCAAATTAAAATACTGAGTTTTAACTATTGCTAATTTTCCGATATAGTTTGTGTCATTAACGTGTAAGAGGCAGTTTATTCCAGCTTAGAATTTTTTGTAATTTAAACTTAATTCGAGGCATGTTTTTTAATTTTTTGATCTATATAAAGTTTTGCGATATGCGAAATAAATAACTTTGTACTTCACATAGCGTGTGGGGGATGGTTTTGTTAATTGTAAACAATTAAGGTCACCTTTCTCTCAACTTGACTTTTGACATTACAGCCAAGCTGACTCACTCGTTTCTCTCAACTTTTCAAAAACAGTATGACTTACAAGGAAATGACAAACTTTCAGGTAAAATAATGTTTCAATTTATACGAAAACTCGGGATTAATATCAACTTTTCTGAATAACCCCCTTATTAACAGTTCCCCTTTTTCTAACGTTCGCCTTTTAGTATTCCCCGTACCATGTAATATAATATCCCTATTTATGATATTATATTTACCTTAGTTTTATCCCTGATTTACTATTGTATTATTTTTCATGTACTTACTCAACTGATGCCCAACTGCATGGAACTCCTTTGATTCAACCCTTAAAACTACCCTTACTAACAATTGGTGTACTACTCTCCTCAGGTAATTTACCCAATTATTATATTGGCGCCCCGAAAAAGTTTTGATTAGCTCGTTACACTGTGTTTTTTATTCCCCCAAAACCAAAAATTTATGGTTAGTTACTGTTTTTCCTCCCCAGTTTTTACGTCTGCGGTTTATTATATCTTGTTATAATACTTCCCCATTACAATATTATTTCATTTATTTACAGTTAATCGCAGTTTATTTGATTTACATTTAAAAAAAAAAAAAAAGATCAATTATTGCTCTTGATTTCTAACCCATGTAAACTTTAAACGTTTCAATTGTTCATAGCTTCATTTACTTTGAATAATGTATTAAGTTATTTTCATCAATTTTCCCCTTTCAATTCGTTTTTTGTTGCTTTGCTATTCCGAGTCTTTTGTGACTCATTTATGAAAAACTTCAATTTTCCCGACTCAATTTTCATTCCGTTCAGAGTCTTTATTGCCTTTTGCGTTCCTTTCCGAGTCTTTTCTGACTCAATGTTTCATTCCTTTCCGAGTCTTTCTCGACCCATTTGTTGTTCGTTTCCGAGTCTTTCCCTACTCATTCATTCATTCCTTCCGAGTCTTATCTGACGCCTTGTATATTCCTTCCGAGCCTTTCTTGGCCCTTTGCTTCCTTCATTGCTTCCTTCCTTCAAGTGTTTTCTGACACTTTTGCTTTCTTATTGCCCGACTCCTTGGTTACCTGATTCGAGTTCTTTTTGGACTCTCAATTTTCGTCATTGTTCTTCGACATGACATTTGTTTGAGCTTTATCTGAGCTCACTTATTCCGCTTGCTTCGAGCCTCACTGGGTTCGTGGCTACATTCGAGCTTCGTCTTAGCTCACCTTATTTTCTGCTTTGAGCCTCTCGGTTCTTGGCTACTTCCTGTCGAGCTTTACCTGAGCTCATTTCCTCTGCTGCTTCGAGCCTCACTGGGTTCGTGGCTACATTCGAGCTTCGTCTTAGCTCACCTTATTTTCTCCTTTGAGCCTCTCGGTTCTTGGCTGCTTCCTGTCGAGCTTTACCTGAGCTCATTTCCTCTGCTGCTTCGAGCCTCACTGGGTTCGTGGCTACATTCGAGCTTCGTCTTAGCTCACCTTATTTTCTGCTTTGAGCCTCTCGGTTCTTGGCTGCTTCCTGTCGAGCTTTACCTGAGCTCATTTCCTCTGCTGCTTCGAGCCTCACTGGGTTCGTGGCTACATTCCAGCTTCGTCTTAGCTCACCTTATTTTCTGCTTTGAGCCTCTCGGTTCTTGGCTGCTTCCTGTCGAGCTTTACCTGAGCTCATTTCCTCTGCTGCTTCGAGCCTCACTGGGTTCGTGGCTACATTCGAGCTTCGTCTTAGCTCACCTTATTTTCTGCTTTGAGCCTCTCGGTTCTTGGCTGCTTCCTGTCGAGCTTTACCTGAGCTCATTCCTCTGCTGCTTCGAGCCTCACTGGGTTCGTGGCTACATTCGAGCTTCGTCTTAGCTCACCTTATTTTCTGCTTTGAGCCTCTCGGTTCTTGGCTGCTTCCTGTCGAGCTTTACCTGAGCTCATTTCCTCTGCTGCTTCGAGCCTCACTGGGTTCGTGGCTACATTCGAGCTTCGTTTAGCTCATCAACTGCTTCGAACAACTCTAGTTCGTCTCATTCGCTACGCTACAGCGATAAAGGCAAGTTGTCCTCTGGGAGGTCAACTGGTATAAGTGCAAATTTTATTGCACAGGGATAAATCTACGGTATTAGGACAGGTAGGTAAACAGGTACATCAACTTTAGTTGTCCTCTGGGAGGTCAGCAATCACAATTCGGTCGTCTGCTAAATAGTGACAGGTAGGTAGGTAAATACGTCATCCTCAGTTGTCCTCTGGGAGGTCAACACTCATTGGTGCTAATCTTTGCACCCGGTTTTTTTTGCCGTTTATACTGGTAATTGGTAGGTAGGTAGGGTCGGTAGGCTGGTAGGACCAGGTAGGTTCTTGGACTAGCTTTAAAATCGCAGTTAATTGTTAATACCGAGGACACTTTGAACGACCGCTCAATTTTCCCTCGGAGGTAGGTACAAGTGGTAAGGTACAGTGGTAATTGGTTAAACTTTATCCATTATTTCGCTCCTTCTTACGAGCATCGGTGGTATTCGGTATAAGTTGGTAGGTTGGTAAAGGTAAATTCATATACTGGTATAAGTTGGTAGGTATTGGTTTACGTCTCCTGGTTCAAGGTATGGCCCCATCCGGTAGAAATAAAACGACGCAAAACAATGACAGCGATCCTTCGGAACAAAATGGTACCCAAACGCAAGATACCAATCAAAACGTTCAAGAGACTGGCGTTCGAAAACTGGTTTCGCTTCGACGTCATCACGAAATGGAGATCAATACTTTGATCGACATGCTCGAAAACAACATCTACGAGGAAGAAGATGATCTTGAACTCATCAATGAAACGTTCACTGAATTGTCTCAATTCCAACAAAAACTTGATACCCTGAACGATCAAATGTTACAGGCTGGTTCTGAACACGATTTTGAAGAACATTCTCACTGGACAGTACAGTTGAAACAGAAAATCCGAGTATTTTCAATGAAAGTGAAAAAATATTTGAAAAAACAAGTATCAAATCCTGCTACTTCTACAATTCCAAATAACAGCGCTCAAGAAAATGCTACTTCAATTTTCCCACAGGAAACCGCAACCTCCATGCCGACTGCAAACATAATGGATATACCAAACAACAACCTTATAACCATGAGCAACAATACTCAAGGCAATGCAAGAACAGCTGCCGCTGACGACAACCTTTCGGCGCCATTTCAAGGCGACCAATCATTTTCAAATCCATTTGCTAGTGATGTTCCTAACCACAGCTCACAACAAGCTAGTGCTGCAAACCCTCCTAACAACAACAATCGAGCTTTGGCAACTAATTCAAGCGACACTTCTACTACATTCAGTCGATCAGTGCCAAAACTGAAGCCTACAATTTTCAATGGCAATCCCAACTATTGGTTGCACTGGTATGGTGTATTCGTATCATCGATTCATAATTCTAATATGTCTCCAACTGAAAAGATGATCCATCTTCAATCATTGGTAACTGGCCCAGCTAAACTAATGATAGCTGGTTATGGTGCAAACGGCGACACATACGAACTAGCACTACAACGTCTTCGTGAAAACTTTGGCAATACCAATAGAATTGTCAACTCTTTTTTGCAACGTCTTGCAAATTTCAAACCTCCAAATCTGGCTCAACCAGAATCATACATGCAGTTTTCTGCTTTTCTCCTAACTTTAGTGGACACTTTTGAGCAACTTGGTTTTGTTCACGATATTTGTTCTACAACAAACTTGAACACTGCTCTGGCAAAGCTTCCCGACCCTGTGAGATTAGAATGGAATCGCTTCGTCATCGACAAAGACTACGATCAACCCTCCTTGAGACATCTAGCACAATGGTTTCAACGGTACGCACAGGCGTGTCGCGACATGCCTCCGACAGGTTTCCGAAACCAAAACAATAACAATTTTAACAATTCTTCTGGAAACGCTAAACACCCTAGTGGTTCCCGTTTCAATGGTTTTACTACAAATGGTGTAGGAAATCAAAATCAGCGCTTTAACCATCAGGGAGATCAACAAAACTCTCGTGCTCAGAATAATGTAAACTCGAATGCTTGTCCTAGTGGAGACACCTGTGGACCTCTCTACAAATGCGAGCACTTCAAAGCTTTAGACCCTAAGCAACGAAAAGAGCATGCCCGAAAAATGCACTTATGCTTTAACTGTCTAGGGAATCATAGGTTTACTGACTGCAATTCGAAATCGCTCTGTCGAACCGATAATTGTGGTAAAAAACACCACACTCTACTCCACGATCCTTCTGATACTTATGGAAAAAACCCTAGTAAAGCTGCAGTGAATCGCGCAATAGCTTGTCAGAGATCAGGTCAATCAGCTTTTGTACCAATCGAATTATCAAATGGTGATAAAACACTTTGTACCTACGCTTTCTTAGATAGTGGTAGCTGCGTAACTCTACTACTGGACTCAGTGGCAACTCAACTAGGCTTGGACGTCAACAAGAAGCACTCACTTCCCATATCTGGATATCATGAGACCAAGTCAGTTCAAGTTACATCTGTGGATGTACAAATTAGACCATACAAAAGCACATCGACTCTAATGACGCTCGATGACCTACTCACGGTAGATGAAAATAATTTGGCCCCAGTTGATATTTTTCAACTAAACGCAATGTGCAACAATTTTCCACATTTAAAGCATGTTAAATACCCGGACTTAAACGACAATAGCATATCGCTAGTCATCGGAAACAACAATCCAGAATATCATGAGATCAAAAATACCGTTTATGGCCCCAAGAATGTTCCCTGGGCTATCGAAACCCTTTTGGGATGGACATGCACAGGTCGGAACAAAACGCAATATAATTCCGTTCCATCTGTTCCGGTGAACTTCACACAAGTTCATTCACACAATAACTTAGATGAAAAATTATACCAGAAAGTTCTCAACTGGATGAAAATAGAAAACACAGGCATCGCTTCTTCAAAACGCTCGCACTCCAAATCGGGTAAAAGAGCAATCGATATTCTCGAAAACTCTTGTACTTTAGTAGATGGTCACTATCAAATTGACCTTCTTTGGAAAGAGGATACTGATCTTCCAAATAACCGTTGGCTAGCTGAAAAGCAACTCAACAGTCTCGAATTTCGCCTTAAAAGTAAACCTGATTTAAGGGAGAAATACCGCGCAACAGTCATCACTGACTTAGAAAAAGGCTTTGTCACCAAAATAGATGCAAAACATGACACTGCAATCAAATCTTGGTATTTGCCGCATCATCCAGTGACAAATGTCAACAAACCAGACAAAGTTAGACGAGTCTCAAATGCTTCCAGCATTTTTCAGGGTAAATCCCTCAACTCGAGTTTGCTCAAAGGGCCCGATCTTTTGTGCAACTTAACAGGTCTCATAATTCGCTTTCGACAAAATAAAATAGCAATATCTGCTGACATAGATGCTATGTTTATGCAAGTGCTAGTCAGCCCAAAGGATAGACCTTTTCTAAGATACCTTTGGAAAGAAAATGGTAAATTAGAAACTCACGAATATACACGACACATTTTCGGTGCCACAGACTCACCATGCGTGGCTTGCTACGCAGCACGACGATGTGCATCAGACAGTAAAAACGACTTTCCTCTGGCTTCTGAAATCATTCAACGGAATATCTACATGGATGATTTGTATGTCACTTCGTCAACGGTAGAAGAAGCCCTCCAACAAATGACACAACTACGAGGATCTTTATCTCGAGGTGGGTTCAACTTGAATAAGTGGAACTCAAACAGTAAACCATTCCTGGATTCAATTGATCCAAATATTTTAGTCAGCCCTAATGATCCAACGCCTAAACATCAACGAGTTCTCGGTGTTCACTGGAATACCAACACTGACTGCTACTTCATCGATAACAAAAAGTTTGTAAAAATTCTACGTATTGGCATTGCTACGCAACGGAAACTCCTGAAGTATACCGCTTCTTTATTTGACCCACTCGGAATAGTGGCTCCATTGACAATTCGGATTCGAAAAGTTCTCCAATCTGTTTGGTCACAAGGTGTTAAGTGGGATACTCCATTAGACACGGATAAACTTCCCGATTTCAAACTTTGGGTAGACGAAATGGAAAATTTCGAAACTGTTTCATTCCAAAGGAACTTCTTTGATAAAGAAAACCCTGCTTCAATCCAGCTTCACACGTTTTGTGATGCATCAGAATTCGCTCTCGCTGCTGTTTGCTACCTAAGAATAGTCTACAGCGACGGCTCCACATCTTTGAAGTTTATAATAGGAAAGACAAGAGTCGCTCCTATGAAACGTGTTACAATTCCCAATCTCGAGTTGCAAGCTGCAGTATATGCTGCCCAACTATCGCTCTTTGTTTCAGAGGAAATTGACCTCAAAGTTGAAAAAACTTATTTCTGGTCTGACAGTACTACTGTTTTGTATTGGCTGCGAACACCTGAAATACGACACAAAATTTTCGTCGCTAATCGGCTTCAGAAAATTTTAGACGTTTCTAAACCTGAACAGTGGTTTCACGTTCCAACTCTGCTAAATCCTGCTGACGACGGTACCAGAGGATACATTGCTTTAGAAATGACCTCAAGCTGTCGGTGGCTACTAGGACCGGAATTTCTGTTGAACGATTCTTCTCAATGGCCTTCACAGGAAAACATTCGGCTTGAGAACATTCCTGTATTCGTTACTTCATTAGAGGCTAAATTTGAGCCTATATTTGACATCAAACGCTTCAGCAACTGGAAAAGACTAATACGGACAGTTGCATACTGCTTCTTATTCGCAGAAAATCTCAAACGGAAGATCAACAAACAGTCGAAGGTCGATCTTCAACTCTTGCATCTAACGAAATCGCACTTTCTCATAATTAAAACTGCCCAAAGGACAGATTTTGTCTCTGAAATTTCAGACATCAAAAAAGAAAAACCAATTGAAGGCAAAAGTAGACTTCGAACATTAGCACCGTTTGTGGACAACTTCGGTATCCTGCGTTCTCGTGGACGTCTCACGCGTGCCCCTATCATGCTATCAGCTAGATATCCAATCATTCTCGCTGGTGAAAACCCCAATGTTCGCCTGCTGCTAGCTAACATCCATGTTCTACATTCCCACTGCGGAAAGGAACAAGCAATGGCCATAGCACAGGAAAACTACTGGATTCTTCGCTGCCGCGTCATGCTGAAAAGTATCATACACAGTTGTATACCCTGCAGAAGAATGCAACAACAAGTCGACTACCCTCAGATGTCAGATCTTCCAATTGATCGACTGCCATCAAAAAATCATTTTCCTTTTGCAACGACTGGATTGGACTACGTTGGACCTTTTCCCATCATCCTTCAAGGAAAACAATACCAAGCGTATATTTTACTGTTCACATGCTTAGTGATCAGAGCTGTTCATCTTGAAATCTCATTAGGACTATCGACAGACAGCACTCTTCTTTGTATCAGACGCTTTTTTGCCCGGCGAGGAAAACCATCGAAAATGGTTTCTGATTGTGGGACAAGTTTTGTGGGCTCCAATTCTGAGCTGAAGAAATGTCTAGACAACTTGGAAAAGAACAAAGAATTTGTGGAAAGCATCAATCAGCTGGACGTATCACTCGAATGGAAATTCAACCCTCCTGCGGCCCCTCATTTTGGTGGTTCTTGGGAACGACTAGTTCAGATATTTAAACTTTCCCTGTACAAAGTCATCGGATCAAGAACACTCTCCTATGAAACACTGGCTACTTTCACGACCGAAATTGAATCAACCATGAATTCACGACCTTTAACCAATGTGTCTGACGACATCAAAGATGATCTGCCTCTCACTCCCAACCATTTCCTTCTTGGTCGTGGAACTCCAAATTTACCGCCTGGTATCTTCAAGGACAAGGATTTATCTCTGTCAAAATCATGGAAAGCATCCCAACTACTCGCAGATCACTTCTGGAATCGCTTTCTTCGAGAGTACTTACCAGGTCAGCAGAAACGATCAAAGTGGACTTCTGCGACTTCCAATTTGCAACCCAACGACATGGTCTGGATGTTGGAGGATTTTACACCTCGTGGACTGTGGCCTCTTGCTAAAGTGGTGGAAACCTTTCCTGGACAAGATGGAATAGTCCGCTCAGTGAAGCTGAAAACGCCAACTGGATTCAAAGTTCGACCTGTGGTCAAATTGAGCCGCGTTTTCCCAGTTTCGCAGTAACCAAGCTCCAAATAGCTAACCAACCAAATAATCACGCAACTCAGCCTTCAACATATCAACTCGACAAAGATGAACAAATCTACGACTCGTCAATTCAACTAAGACAATCAGCTCAACGATAGACAAACCAAGATGAAGATGAAAAAGAACAATTTCTGGTTCCCTTATCTACTGGTTCCCTTATCTTTGTATTTTACCGTATCCTTACTATTTTATTCAATACTTTATTTGCAAGCTCTGCAAATGTGGGCGGGTGTTAATTGTAAACAATTAAGGTCACCTTTCTCTCAACTTGACTTTTGACATTACAGCCAAGCTGACTCACTCGTTTCTCTCAACTTTTCAAAAACAGCATGACTTACAAGGAAATGACAAACTTTCAGGTAAAATAATGTTTCAATTTATACGAAAACTCGGGATTAATATCAACTTTTCTGAATAACCCCCTTATTAACAGTTCCCCTTTTTCTAACGTTCGCCTTTTAGTATTCCCCGTACCATGTAATATAATATCCCTATTTATGATATTATATTTACCTTAGTTTTATCCCTGATTTACTATTGTATTATTTTTCATGTACTTACTCAACTGATGCCCAACTGCATGGAACTCCTTTGACTCAACCCTTAAAACTACCCTTACTAACAATTGGTGT